GGGGGGGGGTGTGAGTGTGTGTGTGTGTCTATTTGTGTGTGTGGTTGTGGCTCCTTTGGTCACGGTGCTGGGATCTTTGTAGGGGTGCGGAGGGGCTTGGTGGGAAAACGACGGCGCGTGAAGAGCTCTGAGGTCCTGAGTCGGGAAGATACCCGCCTCACATTTAGAGCATGACAAACGGCACTAATATATTTAGAGCGTGACAAACTGGACTAATTTGTAGATTAGGACAACTGGTGCTAATGTCAGCAGTCACTGCGTCGCCTAAATAGTCCCTCAAATTGGCGGATCTGATTCCAGGCTGTCCGGGGTATTCCCATGCTAAAAGGCTGACAGGTCCAGGCCTTTGAGCCCTCAGCGTTCACACACTCAGAAATACACTCTCAGAAACACACTCTCAGAAACACACTCAACACACTCTGAGAAACACACTCTCAGAAACACACTCAACACACTCAGAAACACACTCTCATCCGTTTGCTGTTTGAGATCCGTGTTTTTTAATGTTACGTTTGTTCATAGCTGTAGTCAGATTAAAAATCCTCCAGGAAAATGAATAGTACACACACACTCAATCCTATTAAATAGTGAATCATATTATTTAGTAAATGGCTAAACTGTGACTTATTCACCTTTATATCAATATTTGGATTTTAAACGTATATATACACTTATTGTATTGTAAGTCGCTTTGGATAAAAGCGTCAGCTAAATGCAATGTAATGTAATGTAATGTAATATACTATATATGCTAATAATTTAAAACAAATATTACAAATATTATATGTATATATACATTTAAATGTGCCCAAATAAAGAACATGTGGGATTTTAAGTGATGTTGACTCACTTGTATTAATCGACACTGTAGATGTACTGCGATACTGTTACTCTATGAGATAGTCATTTAAAATAATTATTTCATATCACATTTATAATCAAAACGTATAGTATTGAGTCCAATAGCATTTCATTATTACAAATAAAAGAGAACGGATCAGCATGTTTTCTCTTCGGAAGTCTCTTGGCCGTTTGGTTCTTCGCAAAAATAAAAGGAAAATTGATTTCCCATGGATCAAATTGCCTTTATTTAAAAGAACGTATAACCAGTAGATAATGGTAATTACAACAGTAAGGGATATGAGTAGCTTATTTGGTGTTGATGTGGTAGACGGAAACAGTGGCCTGATTTGTGGCAGGGGAGAAAATATGTGTCTGTGTGATCAGATTTCCCCTGAAGACAGGTCAAAGTCCGCCTTGGAGTAGTGAAGCTCACCAACCTGTGAAGTAGGACGCTCGGATGAAGGGGTGAAGGCTTCCATCAAAGAAAGGCAAAGGGAAGGACTTCTGAACGCTCTGGACTGAGGAGCAGGAAACAAACAAGATGCTGAGTCAGGAGAAAGTTCAGACACCAGAGAACGACACGTTTACTAATACTTTAGGATTTATAGCTTAACATTTTAACAACACATATAGTAGCAACCTGGCCTATAGGGCTAACTCCTTCATTGAACAAATACAAATCAAATGTAAAGTTGTGTCTGATGCACCTCAGCAGTTTTCATGAATTGGCCCATTTTATGGGCTACAGTTTTTAAGACTCAACAATTGCAGTCAATACATTACTACACTTCCTGTGCTCTATTCTACTCTTCTACTTTTCTATTCTTTTCAACATTTATCTATATCTGTCATATTATTCTGTCAACAGTAGAGTAGGCTATAGCATCAATTCTGGTAGCTTTTGTGGGAAAAATTACATTGGAGTTGAAATTGCATGGCTAGTTGAATACAAAATAAATAATAATAACATTATTATTATTATTATTATTATTATTATTATACAAATTAAAAGAATAATTATAGCCTTTAATTTTGCGATGTTTAAAAAACAATGATATCATAGCAATGATCATCATCCAATAATTGCTCTACTCACCACTCCGTGTGGACGGGGCCAGTATTGCGCTGACGCCGAACTTCAGGTACCCGGGCTCCGGGCCGCCGGACTGCGGGGAGCCGGCCGGCGGCACACAGCGCTCTGTGCCGGGCCCCCGTAGCCGGGGGGGGCCGCACTGCCCCGCGCTCAGCTGGAGAATGTCCCCGGGACTTCTGGAAGAAAAAGTCCGCTGTATGTAGCTGACAGGCTGGCTCCATCTGAGGAGATCTTCCACCAGTAAGCCTGAGTGCAGGGACCGGTTCAGGGGCGAGGAGAGAGCCACAGGAGGACGCAGGAAGGCCGGGTAGAGAGGAGGCGGCAGCGCGCTGCAGGGGAACATCATGTCCGCAGAGGTTACAGGTTCTTCAGGGAAGTAAAGCGGAACCTCACGAACACTCTCTGCTCTCTGTGCACTCTCTGGAGAGGTTTTATACAAGCAGTCACTCCTACAAACGAACACGCACAGTCGCACACTCAAGCACATGCGCTTGTGCACGCGCACAAGTTCAAGCCTCTCTCGCTGCCTGATCTCTTTGAACACTAAATCAAGAGGATTGGTCAACGGTCCTCTGATCCTTTGTGATTGGACCACCTCCGTCACCACAAACATCACATTTCCCTCGTGCTTCTATCTTTTTATTGGGTTAATGTAAATGAAGCAGCTCATGTGATCCTTGCTCCGATGAAGAAGCAGCAGGACGCAGAGCATGAGCACTTGTCTTCCAAATGACTTTCATGAAATAAGATATTCGAGCATTTTTAATTCGCGGCCACCTGTTGGCTCCTGCAGGTTGACAACATGAAACGGTGCTAAAATGTAGTATTCTGCTGTAAGAAGTAGACAGAATCTTAAGGGCAATGCACCATCTTCAGTCGCACGGAAGAATGGGCTTTCACCAGCCTCGTTATTCATTGTAAGTTTTATATATATATATATATATATATAGGCTATATAGGCTATATATATATATATATATATATATTACAAAAGTTGGTCTACTTTATCCATACTTTTTCTGACTCCCCTCCCAATTCCCCCGCCCACACGACATGAGACCATTAGCATTCCAAAAAGAATGCCCTGCACCTTTGTCATTTCACCTGACCCTGTCCGATGACAGGCTGTAGGCCTAATTATAATAATACTATTAATAACAACAATAATAATAATAATAATAATAATGATGATAATAATAATAATAATTACAATTATAATAATAAAAATAATAACAACAATAATAATAATGATGATAATAACAATAATGATTATTATAATAATAACAATAATAATAATAATAATAACAACAACAATAATAATAATAATGATAATAATAACAACAACAATAATAGCAATAACAATAATAATTATTATTATAATAATAACAATAATAATGATAACAATAGTAGGCTACAAAACGCTTTTCAAACACATGCACGCACACTCATTAAATGTGAGTTTTACCCCTCGGTCCTCACCGTCAGCTCCACGGCTCCGGCGGCGCCAGGGGGGCCTCGTGGGAAGCACCGCCATGGATAGCCATAGCACACCCTAAGCACCCCCAAGAAATGTGTGTATTTTGTGTTTGTTGGTGAAATTCATAATTTGAAAAAAAGGATTGATTCGAAAATAATAAGCTACAGTACAGTATAGTAGCCTACTTCCAGGGTTTTGTGTAACGCGTTACAAAAGTAACGGAGTTACAGTGTCAGTAATGTATTACTTTTTGCTGTCACGAAGTAATGTAACGCATTACTAATGACATTTGGGTAATATAGGCTACTGTGGTGACTCTAGTTAACCATAATTCACTTTTGAGTTACAGTTCCTACACGGACCTTGTTTAGTGTAACACCGAGTATTTAGGTTGCCAAGCTAGAGCTAGTAAGGCACTCTAACTTGACTCTCATCACTGAGCACATGTTTGATATCTCTATGGCTTGATGGAAAATAAAGAGTGGAATTCCATCTTAAATACTCCGCCTCCGACTCCTTCTTACCGGCACTACACTGGTGACCCTGCGTTTTTCGAGATAGTTTCCGAAAATAAATTTGAACATGGCTGAACGAGATATTTTCGTTAAGCTGCCGGAGTTTTGGGAGCATGCCGCGGAGGCATGGTTTGCACACGTGGAGGCTCACTTCGCTTGCAAGCATCTCCACGACGAAGAGCTGAGATATTACCACGTGGTGGCTTCGCTGGGGGTTTCTACTTCAGCCAGCTTAGTGGGTTTCATCGCAGCACCCCCACGCCTCGGCAAATACGAGGCTATCAAGGCTCTTCTCCTGAAGACATTTGGTTTATCGACGAGAAAAAGAGCCCGCCAAATTATGGACATTCAGGGCCTCAGAGATGGCAAGCCATCTCAGTTAATGGAGAAGATGCTAAGCCTGCTAGGAGGGGATGATACCCAGATTTTGTTCATGGAGATGTTTCTTCAACACTTACCTCCCCGGGTCCAGACGACGTTGGCCAACACACCCATAACGGAGCCCCGCACGCTGGCCGGAGAAGTGGACCGTTTCTTCCTGGCTACACGACAGTCTGGTGCGGAGACGTTGGCTGTGGCGCACAGCGGCCCTTCGGCGGGCAAGAAAGCATGGCGGAGGCCGGACACGGCGGCGCCGAGTCGGCGAGGAGATACCGGTGAGTGTTTCTACCATGCACGTTTCGGGACGATGGCAAGGAGGTGCATC